GCGACGGGTGCAGAGGAGTATAACTTTCTGGCCAATCTTTCACGGTACACTAAGCGTCAACGATCAGGGATGACGGCTGTGATGAGTACCCCGACTGTTGCACAGGATATGCCGATGGGAGGTGAGGAGGGAGAGGACGAGCGAGATGAGTTCGAGAGAGCGCTGGCGGCTCCCGCACATGGGAATGTCAGACACACTGCTAATCGGTTGGAGGGTGGTGCTTCAGAGGATACTAAGAGGGCTCGTAGGGTCTCTGGGGCTCCTGCGGATCCCATGGCCTCCATTGCGGCCCTCCTGGGCTCAAAGTTCTTTCAGCAGCAGCAGTTCTTCGACAGCTCACTTCAGGTTCGTCTCAAACCTCTGGGGGAGGCAGTGAAGCAGAATCATATCGATATTGTTGATATTAGGAAGGCCCAGACTGGACAACAACGACAGATTGATGAGCTCCAGCGGGCCATCCAGAATCGTCCAGGCTCCAATAGCTCCACAGGTGCCCCGAGTACCGTTGGTGCCCCAAGGGTGCCCTTCCAGACCTCACGGCCGCAAGACTTTGGACGGGTCCCCCGTCCGCCGTTCTCTCCGACGTACATCACTATTCAGGGTTGGGCCAAAGGTGCGAACCGTGATATCTCGCAGCGTTCCGAGTTGTTGTTCAATGAGGCTGCGGCCCAGCGCTGTTTGGCACACTTGTTTGAGAAGGCAGGCTGTCTCCAGCATATCGACGAGGTTCGCACCGACAGTGAAATTACTAACAAGCCGTGTGGTCTCTATCGGATCAGGGTACACTTCAAACCCACTGTGGGTCGGGATGTGATGTGAGAGTGCAGGAAGGTTTGGATGCAGTGTTTCCAGGGCGGTCGTATCTTTGCCCAGGACCAGGACGTCAGGGAATTCAAACGTATTGTGCAGTGCCGTGTATCTATCCTTGTGGAGTGCTCCCCATGGAAGCAGCCTCATGTTGCTGCAGCGGGGAGGTTCAAGGCGTGCTTCTACAGACACAGCGGCTTGGTGGACGGATGTGTGCGTATCGAGTCGTACGGCCCTCCGACGACGTTCGTCTGGGCGTATCCTAGCCTCCAGTACACAGACGGAGCGTGTGTTGCATCGTTCAGGACCGACCGTACGGATCAGTGGTTGTTGGATGAGACGGCACTCCTTCGTATCGATTCCACATTCAAGCTCGCGGAGTTCAAGGCTGCCTTATACTCCCCCGAGTAGCGGGGCCCCGACGCCTGGCTCGACACCCAGGCGGTATCTATCGCCACATGGAACTGTCGGAAGTTGGGAAAGCTCTTCTGCCAGGAAGTTTTGCGTGACAATTTTCAGAATTCAGCGTTGGGGGTTGGGGTTGCATTACTCCAGGAGGCTCAGCATTTGACGGATCTTGGGGCGTCATGGCATACCGAGCATTCTGTGTGTAGGCGTGCATGCGTACTGTATAACACTAGGTGGTGCAATCAGCGTATCTTTTCAGACCGAGGCGACCGATGGTGTGCTGTGATATTTCGCAGTATGATCGCCATCAGCGTGTACCTGCCTCACAACTATGTGTTTGGAAAGAGCCGTGATGCTTTCTTCCAGGCCCTTTGCGAGTATCACCGTGTCCTGAGGGAGGTTGCATGGACTATTCAGCGACTGAAATCACAATTTGGGATCAGGGACGTCGTCTTGGGAGTGGACGGGCAGGTGGAGGTGGAGGGTGAGGTCTTCTATGAGCAGTGGCCTGTGACGGGCCCGTTTGAGATGGTACTTCTCTTGCTCCCCGCAAGGCCTCTGGAGGTTTCGAAAAGGGCGCCCGCGAGTTCTCCCATGCCTACTCTGAGGCCCTTACTACTACGATGGGTGTCTTGGGTCTGTTCATGGCGAACACCTTCGACGGCCCACGCAGGCCCACGTGGCGGTCAACAAAGTATATCCCTGAGGCACAACAGTATCAGCACGTGTATGACTATCTGTGTGTACCTAGACACTGGTATGGCAACCTACCCTCTGCTTCGGTCACTTGGGCGGTGCCCCGAGAGGCCATGGCTGAGGACACTTTGCAGCTAGAGACATGGTGGAGTGACCATGCGATTGTGTCGCTCGTACTTCCGCAGACTGCCAGGCCAGCGAGGGCTGCCAGGCACCGTCCTCGCAACAACACCCACTGGCGGTGTGATGGGGACTCTCTGCAGCAGCTGCGCAGTACTATTGACCGTACACTGTGTGACGGACCGACAGAAGTGACACCGGCTGAGATCGGCACCCTCATCCTCCAGGAGGCCTCCAATTTTGGCCACACCCCCACCTATCAGGATACTCTCCCACGGGTCAGTAAGGACTACATCCAGGCACGTCTTCGGTTGACTGAGGTTCGCAGGAGGTGGAGGGCGGGGGATTGTTCGGAGGAGGAGATGAAGGCTGCCCGTCGTCAGAAGCAACGTGAGCGTCGAGCCCACAGGCGTCGCCTCACGGAGTACTCGTTTCGACCAGGTGCACAGTGCCGTGCACATCTCTATACACTGCATGTGGATGGGGAGGATACGTGTGATGTTCAGAAGTGGGAGGAGGCTTTACGTGTACACGGTTTCACTCATTACAGTTGTGAGGAGGAGAGGAGTGCTACTCAAGGAATGCTGGAGGAGAGGAGGAGGCGGTTGCAGGATTTATCGGGTGGCCCCCACGGCTGCCTCGGACGGGAGGCTATCTCAATGGATCCTCATGAGAGCCCGTGCGAAGCTCAAAGTGGGACGTGCGGTGGGTAAGGATGGGATCAGTGCCAGTATGCTCCGATGTGTGCCCTGGTCCCCTCTCTGCTCCATCTTGAAGGCCTTTCGAAAGCTGTTCAGCCGCGAGTCCGATACCCCCTCGGTGTGGCGTTCCATTTGCATTGCGCTGATGCCCAAGCATCAGCGCGCCACCGACTTTTCAGAAATGCGTGCTCTCAGTCTTCTTATTGTGATGTCAAAATGGTACCATTCGTGTTTGGTTATCCTCGCTGCGTCCCACCTGCGATCGACTACACCTGGTTGTATGCTCTACGGATTTGCTGGTGAGCGCAGGGTACACGAGGTTACAGCGGTTGTCAAGAGATTAGCTCAGCATGGTGTGGAGTGGAGCAAGTCCCACTCGTGTTGCTTCGCGTCCTTGGATGTACTACGTGCTTTCGACCACCTGACGGTGAACAACCTCTCTGAATCCATGGATGCGTTATCGTTCCCCCCCGATCTGGCCTATGCTTTTATTCGAGCCACAGAGTCAATGTGTTGCCGATTTCAAGTTTCAGGATGTTGAGTTATGGGGGTACCATGGGACCGATGTGTGAAGACAGGTTCAGTTGAGGCCCCCATGGGCTGGATATGCGAGACTATTGTGATGTGGAGCGACTTGTGTCACAACTGGCGTCGTGATGGCATCGGCATTCCTCTCGCGGATGCAGCAGGCGCGCTGGTTTTTTCCCACGCCATCTGGGCGGACAATGTTATCCTGGGGGCTTCCTCGACTGATCAGCTTATTATGATGGTGCGTCAGATGTCCGTGCTTTTGTACTCCAGAGGGTATTCGTGGAAACCCAGCTCCCTGCAGTATATGCCCTGTGGGTTCCAGGACGCTCCTCAGGTGCCCATCCTGGTTGATTTCACGATTGGGGCCCCTTGTGGTGCCCAGATGCCGCCTCACGCTGCAGTTATGAAGAGGCGCCGTACTTCTCAGACGCCTACGATCACTATACAGTTGCAGAGGGTGCAGCGCATGTCTATCCTTGGTGTGATGATTGATTCTGTTATGCAGACACATGTTGATGTCCTCCATCGTATCAGTTGCGGGGAGCGGGCCTTTTGGCACGAGAAGCGGTACTACTGTTGTCGGGCCGCTCATCCGCCGACTCAGACGGTACGACGGCAAAGTACGTGCCAAGATCCTTTTTGGAGCTGAGGGGATGACGTCAGATCAGAGTACTCTAGCTGCACTGCATAAATGTGAGGGTAAGCTCTTAGCTAAGATGATGTGGAGGAGGAAAGGGGCGGGCGTGGATTGGACTACGTTTATGCAACGTATGTACCTTCATGCCAGGCGGGCCTTGCACTCGGCTGGTCTGCCGAGTCTGCCGCAACTATTCCTGTATCGACAGTGGTGCTGGGCCAAAGATGTTTGTGCCACTGCCCAACGGATGTCGCTGTCGGTGCCGCTGCCCGACCCTGTGCTGTTTCAAGGATCAGCTCGTGCCGCCTCCAGTATCAGTTACAGCGGATTCCCAGGTATCCAACTGCGGGTCCCTGGTGACCCCTGTGACGACCAACCGACGGAGGATGATAAGCCAGATGCGGGAAAGGGCCCAAAAACGACGACGTATCGACCCCCCTGTGGCCTCGCAACAGCCTCCACAGAGCCCCTATGTTCCCTTGGACAGCTCTTACGGTAACACTGCGTACAAACGACGACGGGTACGGGGTGATCTGGGGCCTGAGACGTACCATCCTTGCTCTCTCTCTCTCTCTCTCTCTCTCTCTCTCTCGCTTGTGCATGCTGCATGCTGTGTCGCCTTGGACCGAGGAGAGGGGTGCTTTCATTCGCACTCTCGATTCGAAGGAAGCCCGTGTGCTTACCAGGCGCCGCGAGGGCGGCCGTCCTGCAGGCTTCCATCCATGGTCGCTACCATTCGAGACGGTGGGAGGCCCTTATTGGTATGCTAACTTGACCTGGGACGAGGACGGGTGGAGATATTTTGTCCGTGCACTGCCGCGTCTGTGGGACCTACCGCACGTGCTCCAATACTGTGTCCTCAGAGATCCCAAAGGGCCCTACAGGATGAATGCGGAGGACTTTACGGTGGAGGATAAGCGTAGGAAGGAGGAGGCGGAAAAGGAGAAGGCTACAAAACGTATTGCTCTGAACGAACAACGTCGGTCTTGGTGGGACTTTGGGTCCGAGGGTTTACCTATTGAAATCTCGGGGGACTCTCTGGTGATCTGTAACTGGATTAACGGTCTATTTAGATGTATCGCTGACGTGTATTCGACGACGGTTTCTGCTATTCAGGACTTACTTTATTCTATGTCTGTGGAGATGCCCGTGCGCATTCGGGCCCCCTCACGGGGATGTGATATGATGAAATGGATTTATCGGGAAGGGAACGCGAGAGCTGATGAACAGACTTGGATGGCTCGGAGGGGCCAGGACCACTTGACAATCGATAACAGGTTATTTACAGTGAACGCTTCGAGCGTGCTCGGTGTGAGGGGCTTCTTCGACGGAGGCCGCTCCTCTGAGGGTTGCGGCGGCGGCTGGGTCCTCGATCTGTACAGTCTCCCATTGCTTCCCTCTCATCTCAATCATCTTAATAATCTTGACGGCTCCGCCTCCCCGAGTGGCTGCTGGTGGTGCGATGTCGCCTCTGAAGCCCTCTGTCTCCCGCCCTCGTGTGCAGTGACCCAGGCTGAACTTCTTGCTGTAAAGCACCTACTCAAAGGTGTGGTGGCGGTCCTGCAGGCGCTCGGCCTGTTGCCCCCCTTCTGCGTTAGGCTGTGTCTCGAGCGGGCCTGAACTCAGGCCTGTGGCTCTGCGCAAAGCAAAAAAAGAAAGGTTGACGGTTTGCCGCCGGCGCCCAGTTGGCCGACCCGACCAAAAGAGACAATGTGACAACTTTGGGTGGGTTTTGCTAAGATTTGAAGGATATTTGACAATTCATTTTGAGAAAGCAGACTTTTTGCACCTGTAGTGGGTTATGCCGCGACTGCCAGTCGAATTCTCAGGTCCGTAGGTGCAGTATTATTTTTCAAAACACTTGGAGGAACCGACTTTGGATAAATACCGAAACTGGCGCCGGCGGTAAACTGTCAACCTGGCTACCGCCGGGAACCTCGTAGAGCTCCCCGCACGCGCTAGAGTGCGCAGAATCGAAGCAGAGAGCTTCGGATAATATTCTCTTAAATTCATTTTTGTGATTTTCGATGTCCATACGAGGTCGGTTCCTGGAAGTCAACCCATAGTAAAACTCTCGGGAGAGCTGAGCTGCTCTGGGAACAAACTTCATATGCGCATGCTTAGCGCAAAAATCTGATTTCTCAAAATGAATGGTCAAATATCTTTCAAATCTTAGCAACACGTACCAAAAGTTATCACTGGCGCCGGCGGTGAACCGTTAACCTGGTCACCGCCGGAAGCCTCGTAGAGCTCCTTGCACCAGTGAGAGTGCTCAGAATCGAAGTAGGATAACAAAATGAGATTTTCTTCAAATCTTTTTTTTGTTTTTTGATTTTTGTCGATATTCATATTAGCTCGGTTCCCGGGAAACAACCCATAAGAAAATGCATCAGCAGAGCTGAGCTGCTCTCAGAGTGAAGCTTATATGCAAATGCGCAGCGTAAAAATCTGCTTTCTTCAAATATATGGTCAAATATCTCTCAAATCTTAGCAAAATCGACCAAAAGTTGTCACATTGTCCGCCCGGGCCGGGTGGTCCAACTAGCTCCACCCCGCGCCGGAATTCCTCTAGCTCATCGATGTCGAAGAGCTCTACAAGGTACATTGTCCTTTCTGGTCGGGTCGGCCAACTAGCTCCACTCCGCGCCGGTCGAAGAGCTCTTAAAAACCGAGAAAGTGTGTTTTTTCGAGTTTTTCGGCTCTCGCTTCAGAAGCTTCCTTCATGTGTTCCGAGGAGCGTTGTGCAAGAAAAGAGCTCTACGAGGTGCCCGGCGGTAACCTGGTTGACGGTTTACCGCCGGTTCCCAGTTTTGAGAAAGCAGATTTTTACGCCGAGCATTGGAATATAAAATTCGTTCCTAGAGCAGCCCAGCTCTCCAGAGCCAGTTTTACGATTGAAAAATTTGGAGCAACCGACATGAAGTTCACAACGAAGAATGCAAATTCGGCGTTTTTCTACAAATGCTCCAATAAGCTGTCTGCTTTGAATCTAAGCACTCTTACGCGTGCAAAGAGCTCTACGAGGTTCCCGGCGGGGACCAGGTGCAGCTGTCCCTCCTCGGGGATCTCAGCGGCGACCTGGCCCGTCGCGGGCCCCCTCGAGCCGCGTCGTGCGGGCGGGTTTTGTGCATGCACACGTATCGTGCATCCCTGGTTGCCGAACGGGTGATCTGTCGGCATTGGATTGATTTCTCTGCTATCAGTTCTTGGGATTTCTGTCTGGCCGATTCTTTGGCATCAAAGCTTGGGACATCAGGCCTCGCATTGCTGTTATCATCCTGTGCCCCTTCCTTGTGAGGCGCCATGACAGCTCAGTTTTGTTCTTGCCCTTGCATCTCTCCGATCCCTTCCTCTTCGTGGCGTCGACGAATGCGGCGGGTGCGACTCGTCGCACGCAGACAGACGTATGTTGATCTACTTCAGGAGCAAGACAGGCTCAGAGAAGTTGCGTATCAATCTTTCCAAGATGGGATTTTGGTGGCTATGTGCAACTATTCTATCCCTTCTGTATGCTCTCCACAGGTTAGCACAGACCATGCTTGTGTCGGTGTCGCTTCGGAGCCCATGCACGCGCAGACTCCCGCTGCAGTTGCTGAGATGGGGCAGGAGGAAGAGGCGGAGGAGGAGTATGCTCATGCTGTTTCGTTGGCAGTTTCTTTGGATTCCAAGCGTTTCGAGGGAGAAGGTGCTGCACCTTCAGGCGTTTCTGCTTGTGACGGTGTCGTTTCGGAGCCCATGGTCGCGCAGCCTTCCACGGCAGTTGCGGAGATGGAGCAGGAGGGGGAGGCGGAGGAGGATTATGTCCATGAAGTTTCCACGGCAGTTGCTAAGATGGATTTGCAGGAGAAGGAGGTGATGGAAGAGGATGAGGATGACTTGCAGCACGATCAAGCACCGGAAGCAATGGTTGATGTTGAAACAGCAGTGGAGCTCGTGCCAACACACCTGCGGATGCCGTCTGGCAACAGTGGCAACGTGGTTTGGATCCCGAGGCGAACTGTAGCAGTGCTCCAGACAGTAAACCTCTTATATACACGGACCCCCACACATTCCAAGAGTTGAATATGCTTCAACGTCTTCTGGGCAGTGGCTACTCCCATGCGGATATCTCGTACTTTGAGGGCTGTCTGGTTGCAGCGGGCTGGGATGAGGAGCTCGGTGTAAACTCCGTTTCCTGTATAGAGTCACTTCCGCGGGGATGTGGTGGACGGTGGAGGAGTTGCTGCAAAAATCGGGTCACGGTGTGGCATGCTTTGCAGTGCAGCGAGGTCTGGGATGGTGCTTTCCACGATGAAGAGCTCATGAATGATTTTCTTGAGTCGGTCGTTTCTCGTCTAAGACGTGATGGGGCGAGGATATGGGAAGACGTTCGGCAAAGTTAGATGCTACTCTCGCTCTTTTGCGAATTTGATGGTATTCGTTTGCTGGGCTCAACTCTTGCTTTGATTGTACTCGCTGCGTTTGTTGCCTTGTACTTCCAGGCCGCTTGCCTTGTACTTGTTGCATTGTCTGCTTGTGCTCTTGTCTTACCGCGGGTTGTTACGGCATACTTCGGACTTTGTGTTTGCGTTGACTCTTGCCATGCTGTGTGTGTGTTGGGCATGCGCGCATGTTGGTATAAGAGCTCCGCGTGTTCTTCACTTTGTTCGGAATAAGAGTTTTGCATTTGCCCGCTCCCGCTCAAAAAGTGGTGGGTGCCTTGCCTGACTCTGTATGCCGCCCGTCTTCCTGCTAGCGACTGGGCCAGACGGGCCGCGCTGTCGGCCGCAAATTCGGCGTTGTGTTTCACGTGCGTGGTCTTTCAGTGGTGTTGAGACGGTAATCGCTGTATAAACCTGTGGTTGCTGTATGGTCTCTCACTGCTTCTTGCTTTGCTTCCATATCTATGGTCTGCATTGCTTTCCTCATTTTTTCGTGTTTTCTTTAGTGGGATTTACGCTCTTGGGCATTGCTGTACAGCTTCGCTGTTAGTGCGCTCAGCGTTTTGCTCTCAGGCTCTGTTCTGAGTTGCTTTGTGTTTCGGTCTGCCTCCGTGGAGGCTCGAATCGACCGTCCGCAAAAGACCGCAAAAGACCAGGTTGACGGTTCACCGCCGGCGCCAGTCTAAAATATATTTTACCATTCGTTTTGAGAAAGCGGATTTTTACGCCGAGCATTGGCATAAACTTCGTTCCCAGAGCAGCTCAGCTCTCTAGATTCAGTCTTAGTATCAGTTCACTTCCGGGAATCGACTTAATGTTGACACCAAAAAATGTCAATTTGACGTTTTCTAGAAATGCTCCGAGAAGCGCCCTGCTTCGATCCTGAGCACTCTTAAGCAGCGTCCAAGGAGCTCGAAGAGGTTCCCGGCGGTGACTCGGTTGACGGTTCACCGCCGGCACCAGTTGGTCGACCTGACCAGAAAAGAATATACCTCGTAGAGCTCTTGGGCAAGATGAGCTAGAGGAATTCCGGCGCGGGGTGGAGCTGGCCGACCCGACCAAAAGAGACAATGTGTCACATTTGGGACGGTTCTGCTAAGATTTGAAAGATATTTGACCATCCATTTTGGGAAACCAGATTTTTCGCACCTGTAGTAGGTTATGCCGCGTCTGCCAGTCAAATTCTCAGGTCCGTAGGTGCAGTATTACAATCAGAACACTTGGAGGAACCGACGTTGGATAAAAACAGAAAAACGTGATTTTTCGAGTTTTTCGTTTCTCGCTCCAGAAGCTTTCTTCATGTTTCGACGGTCGCCGTGCAAGAAAAGAGCTCTACGAGGTTCCCGGCGGTGGCCGGTTGACGGTTTACCGCCGGTTCCCAGTGTGACGACTTTGGGTCATTTTTGCTAACATTTGCAAGATATTTGACAAGTCATTCTGAGATGCCAGATTATTGTGCTCAGCATACGCATGTAAACTTTGTTCCCAGAACAGCTCAGCTCTCCCGAGGGAGTTTTGCTATAGGTTCACTTCTGGGAACCGACCTCGTATGGACATCGAAAATTACAAAAATGAAGATTTTAAGAAAATCTTCTCCGAAGATCTCTGCTTGGATTCTGAGCACTCTAGTGCGTGAAAGGAGCTCTGCGAGGGTCCCGGCGGTGACCAGGTTGACGGTTTACCGCCGGCGCCAGTTGGCAGACCCGACCTTAAGAGACAATGTGACGACTTGGGGTCGGTTTTGCTGAGATTTGAAAGATATTTAACAGTCCATTGTGAGAAACCAGAATTTTCGCACCTGTAGTGGGTTATGACGCTTGCGCTTGTGAAATTTCCCTGGCCGTAGGTGCAGTATTACTATCAAAACAATTGGAGGAACCGACTGTGTTCCGAGCCATCTTGACACGCGTTGACGGTTTCCTGTACTTAGCTCGAGATTTAGGAGAGTTACAGCGCTGATGTTTATAGAGAGCGATCTAGAATCATTACGCGCGTTCGTCTGTTGCATCGAGAGGTCTGAACTCGGTCTGCTCGAGCTACGTCCGCAAAACTGTTCGTATTCTTCGAGTACCTCGTAGAGCTCTTCGGCAAAGAGCTAAGAGGAATTCGGCCGCAGGGTGGAGCTAGTTGGCCGGCCCGACCAAAAGAGAGGATGTGGTAACCTGGGGTCGGTTTTTTATCTTTATGCCAAATTTTGAAGTTTGTTTTCAGGAGTGAGATTTTTATTCCCTGTAGTAAGCTATGGCGCACCTGCTGGTTAATCTATTATGGCTCTAGGGGCAGTATTACTATCAAAACACTTGGAGGAACCGACTTTGTATCGACACCAAGAAATGCGTTTTTCTGAGTCATTTGACAAGCTTTTCCCGTGAGCAGGCAGGGAGGGAGGGAGGGGAGTGAGTTATGCCGCGTCTGCCAGTCAAATTCTCAGGTCTGTAGGTGCAGTATTATTATCAAAAGGAGGGACCGACTTTGGATGAAAACCGAAAAATCGTGATTTTTCGAGTTTCGGCTCTCGCTTCAGAAGCTTCCTTCATGTGTTCCGAGGAGCGCTGTGCAAGAAAAGAGCTCTACGAGGTGCCCGGCGGTAACCTGGTTGACGGTTTACCGCCGGTTCCCAGTCATTTTAACAAGTGCTGTCGGTTTTCTGTACTTAACTCAAGATTCAGAATAGCTACAGAGCCGGTGCGCACATAGATGGATGCAGTATCATCAGGCGCGTTCGTCTGTTGCATCGAGCAGTCTGAACTCGCTCTGCTACCCGAGCTAGGTCTGCAAAACTTTTCGTTTTCTTCAAGTTCTCTGTATAGGCGCTGTCGGTCTTCTGTACTTAACTGAAGCTGTAGCAGAGTTACAGAGCTGATACGCACAGGAACCGATCCAGAATCATCAGGGGCGGTCGGCTGCGGCATCTAGAGCTCTGAACACAGTCTGCTACTCAGGTAGGTCCGCAAAACTATTTGTGTGCGACCGATTTTTTTCCGAACTGATGTTGATTTTTTCACTTAACTCGAGCTGCAGATGAGCTTGAGAGCTCTTCCGCACAGAAATCTTGAACAAACTTCCTTAATGTGTTCCGGGCAGCGCCGCACGAGAAAGGAGCTCAACGAGGCTCCCGGCGGTAACCTGGTTGACGGTTTACCGCCGGCTCCCATTTTTCTCCAAAGGGCTTGTCAAATATCTTTCACATCTCAGCAGCAGAGAACGAATAGTTTTTCAGCCCGAGCGCTGATAGCAGATGATCTCAGGCGTCTAGATACATGTCACGATTGCCCTCAAGCTCTGTAGCTCAAGAAAGTAGCACAGTGCGAATCAGTGTTCAGCCCTAGCGCTAATAGCAGTGTGCGTGTGGGTGTCTAGACACTTTGAAATAGCGCGCATAATCATGAGCTTTCCATTGCAATGCCTAAGAGCTCTCATCAAGCTCATCTGCACCTCGAATTCAAACCAGAAAACAAATTCCATCAGCAGAACAATCAATTAATAGGACTAGTTGTGCCGCGTCTGCGCTCATAACAAACCCAAACTCATCTGCATCTCGAGTTAAGTGAAACATTCCACCATCAGTTCGAAAGAAATCGGTTGCATACGAATAGTTTTGCGGACCTAGCTCGAGTAGCAGACTCTATTCAGAGCTCTAGAGGCTTCAGCCGAACGCCCCTGATGATTCTGGATCGGTTTCTGTGCGCACCAGCTCTGTAGCTCTGCTACAGCTCGAGTTAAGTACAGAATACCGACAGCGTCTGTAAAGAGAACTTCAGAAATACGAATAGCATCGTGAACCTAGCTCGAGTAGCAGACCGAGTTCAGACCTTTGGATGCAACAGACGAACGCGCCCGATGGTTCTGAATTGGTTTCTATAAGTATCAGCTCTCTAGCTTCCCTACATCTCGAGTTAAGTACAGAAAGCTGTGAACGCGTGTCAAGAAGACTCGGAACACAGTCGGTTCCCTCAAGTGTTTTGATAGTAATATTGCAGCTACGGACCCGAGAATTGAACTGGCAGACGCGGCATAACCCACTACACGTGAGAAAAATCTGGTTTCTCAAAATGAATGGTCAAATATCTTCGAAATCTTACCAGCGCCGACTCCAGGTCACCACATTGTCTCTTAAGGTCGGGTCTGCCAACTAGCTCCACTCTGCGCCCGAATTCCTTTTCGCTCATCTTGCCGAAGAGCTCTACGAGGTATCTAAAACCCTCGAGCTCTCAGAGAGCTCTCCGGGAAAAATCATGAGGCGCGCCAGTCTTAAGTATCTAGACGCTTGGCTTGGGTCTGTTATGAGCGCAGACGACAACTAGTCATACTCTGCTATTTTCCTGTGATGGATTTCGGTTTCTGGACTGAACTCGAGGTGCAGATGAGCTTAAGAGCTGTTGAGCATTCCAATGGGAAGAGAATCATCACGCGCGCTATCTGAAAGTATCTAGACACCCGCGCTCAGTCTGCTATTAGCGCTTGGGCTGAACACCGATTCCTCTGCTACTTTCCTGGAAATGGTACTAGACGCCTGAGATCAGTCTGCTATCAGCGCTCGGGCTGAAAACTATTCGTTCTCTGCTAATCCTTCGGACATAATATGTGGTCATATCCACCAGCGTTTGCCTCCTGTTATCTGGGAACTGATTCGGTCTCTGCAGAGCTCTACGAGGGTCCCGGCGGTAACCTGGTTGACGGTTTACCGCCGGCCCCCAGATCCGGGGCGCTGGAGAGCTAGTTTGCGAGAAAAATCTCGACGGACTTTTTTCTGACTTTTGCTCGGTTGGAAACTCTGTTCTCGAAATTCAACAATTCGTTTGGGCTGTAGCATTTTTTCTCATCATATTCGATCTGATTCCCGCTCGCCTTCTTGATCTCAGCTCGATCGGGTACCTTTTGCACTCCGGCTGGATCGGCTGTTTCGAGTCATCTTGACAGGCGTTGTCGGTTTTTTTGTACTTAACTCGAGCTGTAGAGGAGCTACAGAGCTGGTATTTACAGAAACCGATCCAGAATCATCAGGCGCGTTCGTCTGTTGCATCCAGAGGTCTGAACTCAGTCTGCTACTCGAGCGAGGTCCGCGAAACTATTCGTATTCTTCGAGTCATCTTGACAGATACTGTCAGTTTTTCTGTACTTAACTCTGGCTCTATGAGATCTACAGAGCTGGTACGCACAGAAACCGATTTGAAATCATCATGCGCGTACCTCTGTTGCATCCAGAGGTCTGAAATCGGTCTGCTAATCGAGGTAGGTCCGCAAAACTATTCGTCTCGTTCGAGTTATCTTCACAGGTGCTGTTGGTTTTCTGTACTTAACTCGGGCTGTAGGTGAGCTACAGAGCTGTTGCTCACAGAAACCGATCTAGAATCAGCAGGCGCAGTCATGAAGCATCTAGAGGTCTGAACTCAGTCTGCTACTCGAGCTAGGTCTGCAAAACTATTCGTATGATATCGATTTTCTTGACATATGCTGTTGTTTTTTGTACTTAACTCGAGCTGTAGAAGAGCGACAGAGCTGGTACGCACAGAAACTGATTCATAATCATCAGACGCGGTAGTCTGAAGCATCTAGAGGTCTGAGCTCGGTCTACTACTCGAGCTAGGTCTGCGAAGCTATTCGTATTCTACTGATTTTATTGACAGGTGCTGCCGGTATTTGTACTTAGCTCGAGCTGTGGGTGAGCTACAGAGCTGGTGTGC